AAAGCAATTTTTTAGTTTAAGTGTGGTATATTAATTCAACTGTTTGGAAAAAACATCAGCAGACAAACACTGAATTTAAAGTAAAAAAAAGTTAGGATTACTATGTTTTGTTCTTAAAATTGTAAATGTGTAAAATGTGCTGCACTTCAAAATAAAACCAATTGACACTACAGGAAGTAATATAGAAAAATGTTATTTTTCGCGTGAAATATTAGTTTTTATTAGTTAGTTATTAAAACATTTTTTTCTCATGTCATCTTGGTGCTCTTGGGGGTCCCTGGTGGTGTGGGGGCCCAAAGCAGTCACTTAAGTCTTATATGCCTTGGGCTGCCTCTGACATCATCACACAATTAGCAAATTAAAGAAGCCTCCAGGAGTCCTCTGTTCTAACTCATCTGATGACTGTTGTGTGTTTGTTGGTCTGAAGGATCTTCAGGGACTGTCTGGGACAACAGTGAGACAGAGTGTCCTCTGGACCACAACACCATCGGTCCTGTCCAACATGGTCCAGATCACAGCTGTGATGAGGTCATGGTGTCATAACAACAATAACATGTCACCATGATGACTATTACAGCATCTTTGTGCCAACATAGCAACAGTTGCTAAGGTCTGTCAGCATCATCACATTTACATGTTGTCAGAGTTGATCTTCACAAACATGTAACGTACCAAAAGGGTCAACTTTTCACCACCTACAATGACCAACATAGTGACCTTTCATCTACAAATCCACTTTCTATTTGGACTTCCAGAACCAGAAGGTTCTGTTCAGTGCGTGTTTACATACAGAAGACAAAACATCCAGACAAACATTCTCTCCCAAGGTTCCTGCACTCTCTGTGAAAGCCAGACGTCAACATTCTTCACTCTGAATAAGTGAAGACTCCCTGATTTTATAGTTATAAGTTAAATAATCATATGTGATTAATGAACAAGATGTTTAAATGAAATGTTTGAATAACCTGTGCTTAAATCAATGAATTTGAAATGAATATTGTTCTTACAATGATCCATTTATATCACAAATCACCATGTGTTTGATTTAACAAGTTAATCATTGTTTACACTCATACACCTCACACAAGAGTTTTAAGACATTCACATTCAGTGTTAAAAACATCTTTGTATCTGAGGAGGGCGTGGCTTTCTGAGGGATGTTGGTAAATACTCAGAAACGTGTCAATTTCTGATTGGCCAAACTTGGCCAGAAATCATAACAAAGTAGTTTAGTAAAACAAGAATTATTTCCTGAGTAATTCAGTTTCTCACTGAGCCTCGAACCGGCCAAATCGGGAAAGAAGCATCTCTTTTGAAACAATCACCTTTGACCTTAAGTCAAAACCTTTCTGTGACGCTGCAAGTGATTACAGACACAACGGCTCTTTTCAGAGCTACTTCAACTCTCAGACATCCACCTTGGACACCTAACCTGCAGACCCCGGGTTGCATCTCATGGCCGGGGAAGCTGAACTCAGAGGAAGCTACTACTCTCTGAGTATCGTGGTTTCAACACTCACAGAAATGATTCATGCCAGAGTAAATTTTTATGTATTTTTATTTATTTGATTATATTGAAAAACTCATATTATTTAAATGTATGAATTAAAATTAGTTATAGTTATTTATTTATTCATTATTTATTTATTTCTAGTGTTATAATAACAACGTAAAAGTTAATAATTAAAATACATAATAAAGTAATAAAACATATGTATTTATTCTCAAATTCACTTTGAACCATGTCTTCATGGGCGGGAGAACATTCATCACATGTTTAACCCTGACCAGAATTATAACTGGGCCACCTTGTGTTTTTGTTGTTCTATGGCTGTAAAATTGTAATAAAAAGTGCTAAATGTTTGTAACTCTGTAAAAATGCAGCTTAAACGTATACAAAATAATAATTAAATGGATGTGAAATTTTTACATCTATTACTAAACGGGAACTTCAAAAGGACTCATTTCAAATGAACAATTTAAATTCTGAACGGTGTTGCAAAGCGTGAACCCTGCCTCATGTTGACCAGTTTATGACTGTTTCTATTTTCTAAATTCCTGACTGCAGCCCTGTCAGTGACCACAGGTGGGTATACGCTCTGGTTCAGAGAACGGCATGGAGTTAAATAAAAATGAGTTAACATATGTAGCGTAGTTAACTACATACTAGAATCAACACTGTTTGCTATCAGCTTTGTTAGATTATGAGAAAAGATCCAAACAAGTTAACAATGAAGCTTTTATCATATATACATATCTAGGATATTATATATTCGATAGAAGTTCATATGCCAAAGAGCTTGGTCTACTTTTAATCCAAAGATTAATGTTTAATTTAAGATAATTAAATTGAATAGCAAAAGTTTATTTATTTAATCAGAAGTTTAAAGTAATCGTTGCTTTTTCAGTAACCAGAAATATACACCATTCTGTGTTCCATTTCAAAGAAGTGTCAAGTTTTTAAAGTTAAGAATTTATTACTAACACTTTCTGAAATGACACATTTTAACAGACAATTTGATAATAAAACTTGTTTGAAAAATCAAACCTGTGACTGAATGGAAGCTAAAATGAAAATGCGAGTTTTTGGATGCGTGAATGAATATCAGAAGGTTTCTTTCAGCGAGAGAAGTGTTTCTGGGTGGAAAGTTGTTTTGCAGCTAACTGATGTTTATTAGAAGAAACAGCATACAGACGCAATCTATCAAGAGTATCTACCTCACCCAGTATCAGGAGACCTTCTAGATCCGAGATGTCAGATGGAGATGGTGTCCTCCAGGCAAGAGGTTGGTAGAAGGACCTTAGTGCGACCAAATCGGTCCCGAGATGTCTCCGTGGGTCACTCGACTGGTGAAACTATTTGCGTCTCAAAATCAATAACTCTGAAGGAGTTTTGCGTCCGCTGGAAACAGGTGCGTTTATTCGAAGCAATTCTATCGGCGTGACAGAATGCTTAGTAGAGATTCGAGCAACCGTCCCTCTTCTCCTGATATGGTTCAAGAACTGAACTTTTTGCTGCGGGATTCGGTTTTAAGAAATGCAGCTTGAGTTTATTTCTGATGATGTTTATTATTTGTCTTGTTCCAGAATGTCCAGGATCCATTTACAGCAGTAAAATTGGTTTGCAGTGAATGCGTTACTTGCCCCAATGACAGTCCGCAGAGTCCTTTACATACAGCCACAGTCCTTGCCACACACCCAGAACTTGGAGTTGTCCTCGAAGGTGACGAAGCAGCTCTGCCTGGGGGAGCTCACCCTCTGTATCCTCCCCACATAGTACAGTCCATCTGACCAATGACAGAGCACGAACTGACCAATAGTCAGGCAAGACTCCGGCCCCGCAACATCCTCTGGGATTGGCCCACTAAGAACACGCCCTCTCAGCGTCAGAAAGCTTGGCCATGAAGTAAAGACATGTGATGGTTTTACCCTTTACCCTGGATCCCTTCTGAATGAGGCTGGCTAACATGCAAGATGACCTTCTGGTTTACTGAACACACATTAGGATTATCAACCATAATTATTATTATACCCAAGCATAATAACTTATTCCAGTGTAAGGTAAAGGTGTAATTAAAATACTGAATCAAGAGATTATTTATGATGGTTGTAATAACAGTAATAAAGTCAAGAGTTTATTAAAATTATTATTTAAAATAATTATTGTGAAACTTGAAGCATCCTTCATCTTGGGACGGAAAAGTAGCAGATAAAGATGGTTTCAGCAGACATCACGGCTCCTGGCGGGTTAATCTGTGGGGCAAAGTTACAGTCGACCCAGCTTGACCCAGCTGGGAAAATGTGACCTTTGTCACAAATTAGAGGCCATTCATGACGCTACACATAAGATAACAATCATTCATTCAGGACTGCAGATGGAATTAGCTTCACGTTAAATCTGGTACAATGCATCAAATTTCAATATGTATGTTAAATATTGTACATGGTCCTTAAATAAACAAACATTCATCACAACTGTAGCTACATTCCTACCAGCATTATAAAGATCAATAAGCCACATAAAAGGTAAAGTTAAACATTGAAACATGACATGACATAAACTTAACTAATAAAATTCTGCACTGATATAAATGTCTATTTTCAGCTAAATTAATATTTATTGTAAGTATAAATAACCCTGGAATGAAGCTGAATCATTTAGTAAATAGTAGAGTGTTCAAATAAAAACAAGTGTGATTGTAATTTGTCCATCGTGTCACCAGCTACAGAAACTTCTGAGACACCTGACCAGCCAGGTGGATTTTCTGTGTGACGTTTCCATAACGTTATAAAAGCTGATGCAGATGATCAGATTATCTCCTCCGGGTCATTCCGCTCTCCCGTCACGGTTCGCTCCGCTTCTGTCTGTGATGCTGCAAAGCCGGTTTCCCTCTAATAGTGATTTTTGGAGTAACGTGAATTACATCGTTGGAAAGCTTGTTTTATGTCTTTTTTGAAACCGTTGGAATTATTTTTATTTGATCAATCATTCAGAAGTTATGACGCAGAGAATCTAGAGTGAGAAATAACGTGGTTCTTGTGTTTCTCTAGTTTCACTTCAGAAGAAGTCTCTCATGTTCACTTTTCTGTCTGATATGCTAACTGCTCCACACACACACACACACACACACACCTATACATGTTTTGCTGTATTAGAGGGACATTTTTTCAAACCAACTTTTTGCAACACTAAACAGACACCACTTTCCAGCTATGCTAGAAAGATGTGGGAAAGCTTAAAAAAATCTATTTGAGCTATATAACACAAAACTCCCTTCAAAGTTTCAATACACTCTTCAGAACTCAAAATACAAGAACCTGACACCATGCTGTATTAAGAGGACAATTGATAATGAGGTACTTGGCTCCACCCCTGACACAAACAGTAATTACCAAGGCCAACTTTATTTATCAGGACAATGGTGATACACATACACAAACATGTCATTGGTGTGTTTTGACAGGTCCAAACATGGATTAAAAGGAACAAAGGAACTGCAGCTTACATAATGTTTTATTGTTAGAATTTCTTAATAAAATTTGTCATATCGACATTTTAAATACAATTTGAACTTTTTCAAATAAGTGGATTGCATTTTACAGTGCTTTTCATCTACAATTGGAAATTTAATAAGTAAAAATTCCTATACGTAAACAAACTATTGAACGGAAAATTTTAATTGCCAATAAAATAAACAGACCTAATAACAAAAACAGCCATTTGGCCTTTTAGCTCAAATATTTTAACTGTCAAAAGCTCCTGAAAACATCAGGAACAGTGTAGTGAATCTTGGTACGCTACAACAGGTTCATTAATCATGGTACCATTGTTTACCCAGGACTTTCTTTTTTTTTCAAAGTTAATCCTCGGTTTCTAACAAAATCCCGGATGTGTTGAGTAGAGCGACCAGCCAGAGTAGGATCTTCTGCTTTTTTGCATTGCTGGCATTCAATCATAGTGGCCAATTTTCCTTTTTTAATGTGTTCATTGAAATGTCTCAATACAGCAGCAACCTCCATGGGAGACCATGGATTCTTTTTTGCTCTTCTTGCATTTTCCAGGGAAACTAGAAAAGACACAAACAATTAATGTAAAACTACATTTTAAACATTTTAAAGAAAATTTTTGTATCAGTGTTTTTTAGCTTTAAATAATGTATTGACGCCTGTTTATTCCCCCTTCAAAATATGAATCCAAAAATAAATAAATAAAAAACACATACATTCATGGGACAAGCTGCAGCATTTTGTCCATAGATGAGAATTGTCACCACATTGCCTTCAGTGTATATTCTCTCCTGTGTCCGTACTTCAAATGGGTCAGGTAAGAAAGCTGGCATTTAATGATGTGTGTAGCCGTATTTACCAAATTGTTTATTTGTTGTCTTGTTTCTGCCAGGCTCTGGGTCCTTTCTTAGTTTTCTTTTGGATTCTTTGCCCTTACTCTTTTTACTTTGTGCTGAAAAGAAGAACGATTAAAAAAGTCACAGAAAGCATTTTTCTATGGAAGTTTCTCATGTTATGATATCCAAGATGTTCCTTTGTGGTCAAAAAAACTAATGGACCCAATAAAGGGTTACTTCACAGAAAAAACGTTTATTGATATTTTTCTGATAATCGGTCACCATGAGATTTTCATCCAGGCTGAAGCTGAAAATAGTCTCCTACACTTATCTCCTGCATTAGCTTCTGATGGAAAATAGGCTGAAACTCTAGGATTAACAGCCTGAGAGCTCTGCGTCACAATGTCACTTAATGATTTATTCATGGACTCGCCCACCTTGACTCACAACAGGGAAAGCTGTTGTTGGTTTAGCAAAATGACTAGTAAAGCTAACAGCTAGTATTAGCAACTCCACAACATGGCAGAACGACTTCAGGCTTGTGTTATTTGTAGAGATAACCATCAACCTTGCAAAGCAAAATAGGCAGTGTGGTGTTGCTGTTAGCCAATCGATGGAGAGAGGTCTAAATATCAGGAAATCAGACTCCAAATCCTGCTGTGTTCAGCTCAACACTGATCTGGCTCACTTCTCTTTCCTGAAACAGGAGCACTAGAGGTTATATCTCGCAGAGATCAACAAGACAGTCAACCCTACTAGAGACCACTGCAAATGTATTAAAAACACGAGTAAAGGTGATCTTTAAATTTTAAACTAATGACCCTTTTTCCACTAAGACTTATTTAGCACAATTTGCTCTACAGTTTGGGGGGTTCCATTGCAACTGAGAGACTGCTCTAGTGAATTCACTCACAGCAGAGGAACCCTAGGGTATGCAAAGTAACGCAACATGATCTATATCTGACAAACATTAGAAGACATAGTATATTGGAATATTTTTACTCAAAGTGTCCTTTTCTAAGATTGCAAAAGGAAAAATCCTGGGAAAGGCAGGCAGGCAGATGGACAAAACACTCTGAAGCAATCAGTGACGCCACTTCCTAGCCAAAAGACCTACTCTGGCCCCATATCAACTACCTCATTTAGAGCCAATTCCTCATCAGTTTCAAAGCCCTCCACAGTCTCCATCTCTCCTACTTCATGTAGCTTCTTCATCATCATTGCCACCACCATGCTGTTGAGTCTTACAACTCCTGACCCCATTCACCAAACCAAGAAACAGACCCAAGAGTACTGCTTGCCAAATCTGGAACTTCCTCCTTTAGTACATTTGACATTCAAGATTCCAGAAATTTATATCATAGCTCAAAACCTAAGAATTCTAACTGGCATATCCTTCATGACCATCCTCCCTGCAGTCACCCTCCAACACTTAACTGACTTCTTCTGTTTGGATGGTTTTATGAAGTATTTTTGAGTTTCTTTAAAAGTGTGATAAAATGTATTAGTAGACAAAGGTAACATTTACTCTATTAATCATGAGTTATTTTATGTTTTTTTTTTTTTTACAAAATGGGGAGGTGTCTTTATGTGTTTTCTAAGGTAGTGTTAAGTCTAAGTTTCTGATTTCAACAAAAGCATACCTGTAGGTTCCACCAAAGGTTTCGCTGTCTGTTTCATTTCTGCAGAACCTATAAAAAAGATCATTAGTCACATGATTTCATAAATGCAATAAATTAAAAGACAAGAAAACAAAAAACATCACCGTTCTTACCAGTCTGAAGATGAGACGGATTGCCTTGTACCTCACTGTCCGCATCAACCTCCACCGCAGCATCAACTTCACTCTCTGCATCAGCCTCACTCTCTGCACTTGAATCCATCATCTGTAAGTTATCTAACAAAATAAATTACCCTAATGTGATACGTTTTTCTACATTTGCTAGAAACAGGTCTAATTCTTTCATTGAACACAAAATAAAGGCATTACCTTCTATTTCAATCTCCTCAAGTGTTTTTCCTTGAAAGCTTTTGAGAGACCCTTTCTCCATGGCGATCAGTAGTTTGGATATTTTGGCCAGCTGAGTAGTAGCTTCTGGAAGTCTATAATATTCCCGATGAACACGAATGTCATGACCAAGAAAGTTAGCAACTTGGTCCAACTCGTGATTCTTTAGATTCAAGATCTGAGACAAAGTTGCAACATGTTTTCGCAACTGTGTCGACCTGAGCAGCTCAGGGTTTTCAGCCCCACACTCACTCGCGTAAAGCCTCAAACAGTCCTGTCCTCTGAAGGGGGTTAGACAATGAGGTCTGGCAAACAGGAACAGGTTTTCTGCCATAACACCACAGTCTTCCCTTTTCTCCATCAGCAGTGTTATGTTATTTACCATGTCTGGTGAAAGTAACACGGCAACTTTTCGGCCTTTCTTTCCCCTTAATTCAACACGACTGAAGTGTTGACATAGGTGAAGTTCAAATTTTGTCAGTCCAAATGCGACATCCTTGTGCAGGGGACTTGTGTCTCTCTCCTGAAAGCCATTCAGTGTCATCTTAGATATTTCTCCCCCTCTTCTCCTGTTACAAAGTATCACATTTGCCATTGTCGCTTTACAAAGTTCACTGTATGACTTGGGTGAACTGTGCTCTTTAAATTCCTTCAATGCTAGTTCTGTTTTCTTCTCCAGATGTCTATGAAGACGCTGAACATCTTCTGTGAAAGGAAGAGTGGAAGGCTTGTTAAAATGCCGCTCATTCAGTGTGGTCAAAGCAGTGTGGGAGAGGAGTTCAGACCACTTTTTAGCAAATAGGGTTTTGAAACTCTGGGTTGACTTTATCAGTGTGCTGTGTTGTGTCAACTGTGCTCTGCAATGTAGAATGTCATTGACTTTCTGTAGCGAATGACCCAACTTGAGAGCAAGGCTTGGAGTATGGTAGCAGCGTTTTTCCTCATCATATCCAGAAACTTTCTTGACTGCACTGATAACCACATCAAAATTAGCAGGTCTCACAGCATCTTCAAAGGTGTGTATTGAGAAATCCTTGCGAAGCATAAGTAGAAGTCTTCCACATTCTCTGAGTCTCTGGTGAATGTAGTCATATTTAGTGGGATCCTGTCCATGTTTGTTAAAGAAGAACTGGGCAAGCTGAAGAATAGATAGATCACTTCGTACAGTAGAAGATATCTCATCATCTTTCATGCCAGTTAATATCTTCCAAACACCTGGGGAAATTTGCTGACACCGAGCCGACTCATTCATAGAGGCCAAAGACAATACCTTTTTTCGTCCAACCTCAGAATTGGCTTCAACTGGTTTTGAAGAACATTTTCGAACATGTCGCCACAGATCTCTTCTGAGATATAATGCCTGGCAGTACATGCAGTGAATGTAGTCTCTTCCTTCGTAGTTCGTTTTTGCAGTGCGTCTCAGTTTTAAAGACCCAATTCCACTTGCTAAGACCTCCGAGTTATGACTGTGGTTTCCCTTGTTGCGTAGCTTTGTAAGCATTTTCATGCGGTCTTTGGACTTTTTAGGAAGGCTTAAAACTCTAGCAACATCTGCATGTGTTTTCTCATGAGTTTGAAGATGACGCGTGAACTTTGTCTGTAGTTTTCCACATATGTAGCAGTAAGTTTTATTTTTGAGTGAGGAGGGTGTGTCTGATGAATCTTCAACCCTAGCAGAAATGTTGGCAACAGCATCAGGATTTCTTTCTTTGGCAGTAACCTCAGACCTTTCGTGCAGACCTGTGCTGATCCCATCTTTAGTTAATGATTCTGCAGCTTCAGAATCTCTCTCCCTGTCTCCCTCTAAATAATCTTCTTGGTAGTGTCTTTTCTTTTTAGAACGAGATTTGCTGGTGGAGGCCTCAGAATTCTGTAATCTTTTGAGACTGATAATCGGAGGCTTTGAGATATCATCCAATGATCTGTCTGAATCAGCTGTTGAATCCGGAACATATTCCTCTTCTGATGATATCACCTCATTTGAACTTTGTTCACTACAGACCTGAGAATGATTAAAAAACAAAGTAAAGCATTGTTTACTTGGAGAACATTTCACTGAGATGAATTCTACTAAAACACTTACCAATAGCAAATGCTCAGCGACTTTCTCATTTTTCCTTACAAAACACTTTTTGTGCCAGGGCTGATTGCAAACTAGACACAGGAAAATTAGGAATAAAGAAGGAAAATAGTTGCTGTAGTAGGTACGTAAACACTAAGTTTACCTGCACACACAGAACCATTTTAAAGTGTTCCTGTGGAATCACTGTACTTAGACAAAAATGGACCCCCACTTATATTATCTAAAACTTACCTTTACATCTCACACCACTCCATTTCAGAGGTGCAAAGGGTCCTCCACATGCGAGACATTTCTGTAAACTTGACATTTCATCAGGGACGAGATCATGATTACAGTCCTGTTGACACAAACAAAAACAAAAAAGAAAGAATTTGTTTATCAAAACCAACAAAGTGTCCGTATTGTGTTAGTCTTTGAAAAAGGCTAAGGATAAAAAAAGCATTTTTATCTTGTATGAATGAAAATGTAAAAAAAATAAATAAAACATTTTAAATCTTTATTAACTCATTCACTGCCAGCCGTTTCCTGATCACTAACGGCCTTCGCTGCCAGCGTTTCTCACTGTTTTTACTGTTTTTTTAAGAGTCACAGAACGTTGAGCGCTAGCATGATGTCGACGCCAAAACAACCAAAACAAAGAGGAGACTCACCTCTTACATCAGGAAGAAGCCGCGTGTTTCGAGCGTTATCCGTTCTTTCATAATCCGTTGTCGAATTGTGATCGGCAGACGCTTTTCCGGTTCGCGCCTCACTTTTTTTACAGGAACAGCCCAAAACAATCTCCTAACACATGGATGTGTTGCTTCCTGATCATGTGATCTGTGACGTATGCGGATGAAGATCGGCTTCAGGGCTGAGATGTTTGTTCTCTCAGCGCGGGGGCTCGTTCCGATGCTCAAACAGTAAAAAAATGCAAATGACGACTTTAGTCGTCAATGGCAGTGAATGAGTTAATTTCTTTATGTAAAATTCTAAGAAAAATAATTATTCTGAACAGCTTTTCATTAATATGATAAATTTGCAAAAAGTACAACATAAAGGTAAACTTACTGTACACATGAACTCCCAGTCAAATATTTGGACCTGTCTCTTAATAATTTAAATACTGTGTTCTAACTTTTGATTGAGAATCTGCATAAACACTTTATATATATATATATATATATATATATATATATATATATATATATATATATATATATATGTGTGTGTATATATAAACTATATATATATATATATATATATATATATATATATGTATATATATATGTATATATATATATATATATAAGGGATGAGCAGCCTGACACAGCATCCCTATGAGCATCTACAATGAGAAGTAGAACGCTGAATAAGTCTATGATGGTTTCCAATACATGCGATTAATACAGTCCTGCTAATGTCTGACCCTGTCTGGCTGAGTAATACACAGGACGTGTGTCTCTCCGCGATTATAAATGAAGTTCCCTTCTTTGTAACTTCTTAATTCAAAACTCGTACCACCTAAAGCGTGAATCCTGCATGGTGTAGATTACAGAGTACATGTGTACCTGAATGCCAATCAAAATCCATCTCGTGAGTGTGTACTGTAAAAATAGGTGTGTTATTGAAGCTCAAATTTACCTTTGGACAATTGTCTGGAGAAGAACTGCATGTGTCCACATTGGCAGCCTGACACACGGTCTTCCTTGGCATCTACAATGAGAAGTAGAACACTGAATAAAAGTCTATGATGGTTTATCATACATGCGATTAATACAGTCCTGCTAATGTCTGACCCTGTCTGGCTGAGTAATACACAGGACGTGTGTGTCTCCGTGATTATAAATGAAGTTCCCTTCTTTGTAACTTCTTACTTCAAAACTCGTACCACCTAAAGCGTGAATCCTGCATGGTGTAGTTTACAGAGTACATTAGGGGCTGCACGACTTAATTTTTTTTAAAGTCGACTGTCAAGTAATGAAAATCGAGTCGACTTTGAGACTTTGACTAGTCGTTGATGACGTCATACACCTGAAGCGGCGGGGGGGGGGGGGGGGGGGGGGGGGGTTCGCTGGAGTTTTTGACAATTAAAATTGCGCCCACAAATTATCATTGACGTAGTGACAGGTAAGAGCTAAGTAAGCCTCCATGTTCACGGAGGTCCACATGTCAGCTGTTATACTCACTGCCACAGCTTGCTGTACTCCCCTTTTTACTTGTTCGAGTTCCTCCGCATGCTTTTTGGCCATCGTTCCCTTAACCGTCTGAAAATGAATCAACATCAAATCAGTCTAGTACTTAACACATTAATTAGACCACCTGTCATTAAAGCAAGAAAAACATCCAGCTATGAAGTTATCTGCGTTTTGCCCTGTTGAGTAGAAGGTAGGAATTTAAAACTGAATCCAGTTTTTATACCCAAATGTGAGCCGACACACTGGACAGAAATTATTCAAGCATGCATGATGTTTGAATCACAAGTGTTTATTTTTGTTTGCTGTGTCATAAACCTTAAATCAGACGATGGTCTAATACATTTGTTAAGCACTGTATATATTACATGAGTAACAGCAGCTATCTGAGACATTGTGTATACAAACCTGTCTGGTTGGCAAAGCGTAAGATGGATCAAGGAACCCCCTGACCCCCTCGCTCTCCACAATGCTCAGGGGTTGGCAGTCCTTTATGATAAAATTCAGGTCTGCTTGGTCCAGAGCAATGTTCCTAGATTCTAGATTTCAAAATAATAAAACATATATGAGTAAAACAACTGTGAGAAAGCACGCCCAGTGTCTATATAGGTCTACCTGTGGCCGTTCTTGGTGTATTTGCTTCCTCTTCGTTTTCATGCTTGACTCTGTAATGTCTCAGCAATGAGGAAGTGCTCTTATTTGTAAAAGACAACTCCGCTGAGCAGATGCGACATTTAACCTAAATAAAATTAAATAAATAATTTACACTGAGAGTCAGTCACATTGCTGTTTTCAACTCTGACAGATGCGCAGAAACAAGGAAAGACAAACACGTACCTTATTTGCTGTTAAAAGATCAAAATGATCCCAAACAGCAGAAACTTTTCTTTTCCTCTCTGGCTCCATTTTCTTGATGGAGAGAGGGATGTCTTGTGTTACCTTTGAAATGGTAATTTTCTTCTTTTCACGGCGACTCATCCCGTTGACAGATGCAGAGTCGATACCTTATAAACACAGTTTGGCACCTTGGCAATTAGCGACACAGCAGCAGCGTCGGTCACGTGACTTTTTCTTAAAGCAACACACGCATCGGCACAGGTTTCGCTCCATGAGCCTGACACATGCGCCGGTGTGTCGGTGTTGCTGGACCCATCACTACCTGAAAGCATTCACACTCAGACTCAGACACACACACACACACACACACACACACACACACACACACACACACACACACACTCCCCCACAGACAGTCTTATCTTTATTATAAATAAACTCTGAGAGCAGAAACCTTTCTCCACAGTCATGACTAAATGATTTAGGTTTCTTCTGGACTTTCCTGCACGAGTCTACATGTTGCTTCACTCTAACACATTTCTTATGAACCAAACAGCCTGAAGACCTTATTGCTGGATGACTTGTCTCCCTCACGTGTCTCTGGAGAGACCACTTGTGAAGAACTTGTTGACAGACTTACCATCTGACTCAGAAGACCTGCTCTCATTCCAGTCATCATCTTCATCTCCAGTTTCAGACCCAGAGTCTGACAGCTCAGAGTCCTGATTCACACCATCATCATCATCTTCATCATCTCCACTAACTTCAGTCTCTGAAGAATCAGATGTTTGTTCATGAGGGTTCAGATCTGGGTTCCTGCTAGTTCCTGCTCCTCCACCAGTTTCTGCTGCCATCTGGCCAGCTGAGCTGCTGGTTGGAACATCTCTGTCTTCTATTTGCTGCTGATGAAGCTGTGAGACCAGAGGTTTCTCTTCATCATCCTCACTCTTTATAGAAACAGCAGTAACAGGAAACCCGACAGCTTCAGTCTCCTCCTTCAAACAGAGATGCTCTCCCTCCAGACTGGTCCAGAGCTCCTCCTGTTCCTCCTTTATGTGGAGGTGTTCTGGGTCCTGCTGGTCCACACCAGCACTCTGTTCTTCAGGAGCTTCTTCTTTAACCAGTGCCAGCTGTGGAACATCTGTAGGAAACACAGACACATGATGTTACAGACCACCATACCTTTATATGTACACCATGAGTGATACTGGCTACATGATGTGGGAAAAAGGAACAAGAACATGAACTCAAGTCTGTTACGGCGAAGAGCTGGAGTCAGGTCAAGACCCCGATGAGGATGACGAGCATGCAGTTGAGCTTCCCTGAGATGGTTTCTGACAGTTTGTGCAGAAATTGTTTGGTTATGCAAACCAATTGTTTCAACAGCTGTCTGAGTGGCTGGTCTCAGACGATCTTGGAGGTGAACCTGCTGGATGTGGAGGTCCTGGGTTGGTGTGGTTACACTTCATCTACGGTTGTGAGGCCGGTTGGATGTACTGCCATATTCTCTGAAATGCCTTTGGAGATGGCTTATGATGGAGAAATGAACATTCAATGCACGAGCAACAGATCTGGTTGACATTCCTGCTGCCAGCATGCCAATTGCATGCTCCCTCAATGCTTGTGGCATCTTGCTGAGACAAAACTGCACATTCCAGGGTGGCCTTTTATTGTGGGCAGTATAAGGTACACCTGTCATGATGTTGGACATTTGTACTACTCATGATGTGGTACACCTGTGAGGTGGGATGGATTATCTCAGCAAAGCAGAAGTGCTCACTATCACACATTTACACTGATTTGTGAACAATGTTTGAGAGAAATGGTAATATTGTGTATCTGGAATGAATTTTAGATCTTTAAGTCCATCTCATGAAAAATCGGAGCAGAAACAAAGGTGTTGCATTTATATTTTTGTAGAGTATATATATATATGTGTGTGTGTGTGTGTATATATATATAGTTATCATCATCATTAATATTGTTATTATGATTATTTTACTTGTTATATTTTATATATATATGTTTTATTATATATTATATTGGTATTATTATGATCATCACCATTATTATTGTTATTATGATTATGATTATTGCAGTTATTATTATTATTACTAGTAGTGAGTTACTTAGTGACTGAGCAGTGGGCGGAGCCTGTTGTTTTCTACTCGTATTATTTTTCAGCGTTTTATTGTGATTCCTTTCGTGACCTCGGTCTGGGACACGTGCTGTATGAATAAACTTGGTTCTTCTTCCACCACAGAGAAAGGCTGCTCTTCCAGCATCATGAACTTCCTTATGGTCCGGTTATTAGCTGAGCCTTCTGACGCTCATACAGACGGGTGTTGGTGAGCGTAGCTGCGTCTGACTGGGAGGTGTTTATCTCTGCAGCCATCCCTGGAAACTCACCTCACTCCACCCAGACTTTGTTCTTTACGTCGTATTAAACCAGCTGTAATCAGCTTCCCCAGGAGCTGAAGCTTTTCATTGCAGGACTCAAAGCTTACATCACTCTCGCAGACGGAGTTAAAGTTAGGCGGACATGTTGTTTTACATTGTTGCTGCTGTCCTGCACAGCATGAAGGAAAAGGGGAAGAACCCCAAGTGCTGCACACAGGGTTCACACAGGTGTTGCTGGTATGATCAGAACATCCCAAACTAACACCAACGTAGATACACAATAAACAACTTGTATTAAGTACTGATGAGCTATCTGCAGTGGAACAGGACCAGCTGGCATCCTCACACCAAAAGGAGGAACGGGTGTCTTTTATAAACCAGCCAGGCACTAACTGGTGTGTTTCCATTACCGAAACTTCCCAGTATGACCGTCTCCACTTCACCGGAGCCAGCCGAACCGGTCATTTTCCAGACCTTTTGAGAGTCTTTGCAGGTTCTGTGGCCTCACCCAGATCACCCGCGGGCAAACCGAGTTCTAACCAGAAGCATCTGTCAGCATTCATTCTGGACAGTTTTACTTATTTTATGCTTCTTTGTGAGAAATGTCCTCATGTCCCCATGTCTGTGGAGGGATCAGACATGGACACTGCTTATTATGGGATAGTAATGGCACTGACTCCTCCTCCAGCTTCGACAAGCCTGTAGTTTCACTTTGGTTCGTTCAGTCTTTTATTTTCTAACTTTGTTGACAACCATGTCGGTCACGTCCACCATGCGTGCAGCAGAGCAACCAGGAAAACGTGGAACGGACTTCAGCAGACGGAGTCATTTCTAATGAATCAAGTAGAATGGATTTCTTTGAGAACAATCGAAAGAGCAAAAGGTGAACTAAATGTGTGTGTGTGTGTGTGTGTGGTCCAAATGCATACTTTTAAAAAGTGGGAGGGGCATTTCCTTCTGACATAATGGTTGCGACATCTATGAACCACCTCCACTCAGTCAGCCAATTCAGTAGTTTTCTCGTAGTTTAACTCTTGATCAGGGATTGAAGCAAAAAATTCTCATCTGACAGAAAATTATTGCGGGGGGGGGGGCTCACATTGTTTACACACAGTCACTATTCGGGTTTTGATTGGTTTTAAGGTCAGTATTCTTGTTTCTGAAAAATATGCAATAACCCGTTCACATACACAGTGTTTAAAAGTGTGGGTGTTCAGATTTCTCTGAGGTACAAAAGATGATAAGTGTTAAAGTACTCTAAGGGGGTCGGGGGAATGCCTCCCCCCGTAAATAAATTATTGGACATTTTATATTTAAACCAAGCCCCCACAATACGGGTGAAAAATTGAGGCCAACGCAGAAGTGACAAAAATTGCAGTTCCACCCTCATCCACTAGGGGCTGGTGTCAGAAGCGAGCAAATCCTCATTGACTCCCATGTTAAAAATACCAATTTCACAGCAGAAATAAACATGTTTACAGCCTGGTACCAAAACATGTTTTTTGTTTAAATGATCTAGTTTACACTCATGACAACTCTGAGGGGGGGTGAATTTTTTTCTCACTCTTCTGTTTAAGTGTATTAAAAGCCTAAAATTCTGTATAATTAATGAGCATCAGACCCACGTGACCGCAGAGCTAGCTCCATGGAAAGGCCTCAGTAGAGCCTCGGTCTGGCCTGGAAACTGCTCCAGGGTTTTGAGTCTCTGTGTTTGTGTATTCTTTTTTGGATATTATTTGTGCAGTTGTTGGACAAAATGACTTGCTGTGGCATTAATTGCACTAATAGAGCGTCCAAGGAGTCTCCACTTCATTTTTTTTCGGTAAGTAAAATTATATTTATGTATTTTAGGTCACTGCCGAGCTGAGCTTAGATTTTAACATGTACTGTTTAACCATGAAATTTAAATGTAATAGGGTAAAACCCAGTGCATTTAACATAATGCTGCACTTTAGAAAATGGGTTGAAATATAACATGTTGGTGGAGCTGGGGTCTGACTATCGGCTTGTGGAGCTCTCGGGAGGCAGATGTTTTCCACCTGGTTCTCCCCTCCCCGCAGCTCGGCGCATCTCTGTCTGATCGCAGCTTCTGTGTGCTGCACGGGCTGCCGGCTTGTGGAGCTCTGGGATGGAAACCTTTCCACCAGGTTCTCCCCAGCGGCAGCTCTGCGCATCTCAGATCGCAGCGGCGCTTGTCTGCTGTGCGGCTGTTGGCTTGTGGAGCTCTCGGAGACCTCTGTGTTCCACCCAGTTTTACCCAGCGGTCAGCCCGGCGTATCTCTGACTCAGAAGCTCCGGTGTTGTGCACAGTTAACTCAGGTTGTAGCTAGGTTGCTACCTCCGTTAGCTTAGCTCCCACCTCCGCGTTAGCTTTGGGTTAGCTTCGGGTTAGCTTGTAGTAAGTTCGACTGGGTGTCATCAGTTGATCCCAGCCTTACATCCCCACCTCAGCTCCACCTCTCTTCCCTTTTGTGGAATTGTCTGGGCTTGACGGAACCTGTGACACGGTCAAAATGGCGCGGTGGTGGCCACCTCCCATTCATCTACAAAAATGTGTTATTGGAGCCTGTGGAAACCCATTGTCCAATATTTATATGTCGATGATTTAAACGCATCAGTCTGGTGCATTTTTGGGGGAAAATAGAGTTACAGGCTGGTAGGTATGTATGATAAAGTATCTATACATGTTCATTATAATGATATATTTGAGTTAACAATGTTTTCCTGTCCTTTCTTAATCCATTATGAACACAGACTACAGTGAAATCCACTGATGCATCCATGCTGCTCAGCACCAGAACTGCACTAGGTACCAAAAGAACCAATCAGCTGGCAGAGCTCCCTGGTGAACGTGTGAGCTGCAGAACTTGCAAAACTACGTGACTCAATTTAAGGAACAAAGTAGAATCCAGCTGCTGTTATTTATTTGTTGTTGGTGTTTATAGAAACTAAATCTATCTGCAGGGATTTAGGCCCAGGGCAGAGTTTTATACCTCAGACCAGCTTTAGATCATGACCTGTTAATAATATCATGTTCTTTACACCAGTCTGAATATTCTGTAATGTTCACAGACATCCAAACCTTAGAAATGAAATATAATCAATATTAAAATAAAAATTATTAATATAATGTTTTCATTAAGATTAGTTATCTGTTATACTTATTTACATTTGATAGTAATATGATTAATAATATTTAATCTTATCTTCTATCATTTGTGGGTTTAGTGCATTCACTTAATATTAATTATAAAATGATAAATAACAGGTCACTACAATCTGGGCATAGAAAGTGTTTCTAGGAACTAACGCTTGTTGAGCAGCTCACCTGTTCCACTGACAGGAGAAATCCTCTCATCAGCAGGTGATCAGCAGAGCGTCATGACTGAACACCGGCCCGAAAAAAAACTAAGAGACGACTAAAAACACCGACCTCAGATCGGCCCACCGGGAATTTGGGTCCTGGTTCCGCTCATCACGTTAACTCTCAATGTGATATCAGAGCTTTATTGGCTCTGTTAGAATGCCAGCGCCTGGTGCGCGCGCAGCTTGTGTTTGTGTGCACCGCGGGAGCGAGCAATGAGCACGCGCATTTTTGCTGCTTGGGCGGTGCAGAACAGTGGCGTTTCAATTAGCATCAGGAGAGAGCGAGCGTGCGCGAGAGAGATTTTGACAGAACTATTTTCTGATCATTCCAACTGACGGATTTCCGTCGCCACGACAGAGAACTTTAATCCCTGC